ACATTTGTATTGATGTGCCATGAGATAAATATATAGCCTTGTCTTGCTCTTTTTTTTTTTTTTTTTGAGATATGATTTTGCTGTGTAGTTTAGGCTGGCCTTGAGCTCAGCCTCTTCAGTACTGGGATTACGGGTATGTACCACCACACTCAGCTCTTACATTTCTTTTTATTTTCATTGGTACATGTTTGCCATACATAATCATTACTCATGTGAGTTGGTACATGCACATCATTATTTTTCATTTGCTAGGTTTTCTATGCAGTTATTAGTAATTCATGGTCATCAGGGAATTTTTAAGTTTTGGTCAGAGTTTTAGTAATAATGATTAAAACTATAAAAGAATATCTAAACCAGGTGTGGTATTGTATGCCTGTTAATCCCAGCACTCAGGAAGCAGGGAGATCACTATGAGTTCAAGGGCAGCCTAGGCTACAAAGTGAGTTCAAGGCCAGCCTGAACTAAATAGTGACACTTTGTCTCGAAAGAAAGAAAAGGAATAAGATTCTAGTATAAAAGACTTAATAAAATTTTATATTTTGAGTATTCATACACATATAACACATGCACATTTATAAATGTACTTTTTTTTTGCAGTATTGGTGATTGCACCTAGAGCAGTGATCGTAAACCCTTTAGAGACCAAGCATCAAAAAGTACTTGAACCTGTCAAAACTTAAGACAACAAGCTATGATGTAATTCACCATTTTTGTGACCTCATCTAATTTTTTGCTGCTTTCTCTGGCACTAAGAGCTTCTTGATGTACAATACATAGAAACTGAATGGGTGTTTTGCTTCTTTAATAACAAAGACTGCATGAAAACAAATGTCGCCCCCACATGCGTGGTGCCCTGTCACTCGTAATTGAAACCACTTTTTCTGGTCTCTATCTTGTGACAAAAAGCCTCCATCACAGCACTGTAGATATCTAATCTTTGTTTTGTTCCAGGCAAAGATACCAATTTCACCAGTTCTGTCATGATGTCAACTAGGATAACAGAAATTTACTGCTAGCTTTGTGTGATTATTTATATCTGTGCTTTCATCCAAGCACAAGGTATTAACAGTGACTACCTTTTGAAGTCAGTGGTTAATTGCTGACTAATATTACTTGCTATGCACAAGACCTGAGCTTTAATAGTGTTTCTGCTAAGTGGCATCTCAGAAATCTGTTGCATAATTTTATTCTTGTTTGGAAAATCATGAAAAAGGGAATTGCTCCCAGATAACATAGCCATTCTGATAAAATCCCTATCAGAGAGGGTCTTATTATGTTTTGCTATGCACAGTGAAATTTGAAAGCTGACGGCTGTCAGATGATTTGTTTTAGAAAGACAGTTACAAAAACTAAGAATGGTATTTTCTCAGTTTCCCTTTAAGAACACTTTTCTTTCAGCTTCACCAAGTTTGGCAACACTCTTGTGGCTGATGTCAAAGTGCTGCCTGACACTTGGTGTGCAACACAGGATTCCTTCACTACAAAATGCATACGCTTTCCTGTTGTCTGACTCAGTATAGGCCTCTTGGAATGATCTTGCACTATTTGTTTTTGGGCTTGCTTTCTTTGCAGTAGTCATTTCTTGGTATTCAAAACTTGTAGTCTACAAAATTTAAAAAAAATGAAGCGCCCAATATAAATCTGTCCTATCAGTTATTGTAAAAAATTGGATATTCCCTGAATCAGCAGTCTGTGGCAGTGATTCTCAGCTGGAGTTCCTCTTAACTTTGATGGCCACCAGTGTAAGGGAACACTGTTCCACTAACCAGCTTTTGGCTTGCTCTAAAAGAGGCATCTGAGTGCATTTCTTACCTTTTGAGGGCTTCTGCTAAAATCACAACCAGTTCAAGCAAATATATATATCCTTGCTCTTATTAAACAAGCAAATATATATATCCTTGCTCTTCACAAACAACTAAATATAATGCTGCAGATTCAAACATGACAGTCGAACAGCACAACATTAAAAGAATCTCAGTCTCTTAACTAGAACATCTCTTTGCTAACTCTTAGATATTAAATTTCAGTTTTTCATGAGAAAACTCAAAGCTAAAATCTTATTATTAAAAACAAATGTATTAAAACACACTTCCAGCTCAAGCAAATACATATATATATGATTGACAGCACAGTGACTGGCTGTGTCCAAGTTCAGATGGGGCACAGCTAATGAGTCCTGGCTCTTAATTTCATTGTCTGGCACTGTTGCTCCTCTTTGAGCATGCACATGGCCTGAATGAACACTCTGTGGCCTCGATGGTGCTCGGCTGCTGGGGTGACTTGACTCGTGCTGACACGGAGGGCTCTGCGTGCCTGCGACAGCACGTGTGCCATAGATTCCCCACCACTGACCTAGAGTCTTGATACTGAGCATTCTTTTTTGAGGCAGGGTCTCACTAAGTTGGTAAGTTGCTCAGGCTGGCATGAACTTTCAGTCATCCTGCATCAGCCTCCCAGAGGGCAGGGATTATACATGGGACCATGCATGCACATACATATAAATATATACATATAGATATGTATGTACACATGCAAATGCATATATACACACACACACTATACAGTCTCATATACTTTTTTTTGTCTTTGGGACAGTGTCTTGCTATGTAATTCAAACTGGTCTTAAACTTCCTTTGTAGCTCAGGCTGATTTCAAACTTGCAACGATCCCCCTGCCTCAGCTCCTCAAGTACTGGGATTACAGGCGTGCACCACCATGCCCGGCTGTCATATACATTTATCATGAACTTGTCTTACAGTAAGAGAAGTGTACTTATATACTTGTTCATTCTGATTATCACATAATTTTATAATAGTAATATCCCTGTGCTTTCGGTGTTTTAATTCTTGCTTATTAATACTAAAATTGGTTCTTGTTTTGAATTGTGTTTCTGGTATCTGTTATAAGTAGTAAATATAGACACTAAATATAGTGTCTATTATGGTAGTAAATATAGTAAATGTATTGGCTTAAAATGATGTAAATAAATCATTTCACATTTCTGGCGGTGAGAAGCCCAAAATTAGTTTCATTGAATCAAAATCAAGATGTCAGTATCGCCATGATCTCTCCAGAGGTTTTAGAGGAAAATGGTTTTTTGACTTTAGCAGCTTTTTGTGTCTGCTGACATTCCTTCATCTGTTGCCACAATGCATTGATTTTTGCCTGCATCCTCACATCGCCTGCTCTGTCTGTGTTGATTCTCTCTCTTAGAAGGGCATTTATTGTTTTTCTGGCGAATCCAGAATTATCTCACCTCAATTTCCTTAAATTAATCACATCTTACAAAGGTTCCTTTTCCTTATAAAGTAACATTTTCAGGATGTAGTGATCAGGGTCTGGTGTGTTTGGGAGGCCACTTTTCAGCCTGCTGTAGTCTTCATTACCAGGTCACTGAAAGGCCCTTTTCAAAGTTCAGGTTTGGTGCAGACTTTTTTTTTTTTTTTTTTTTTTTTTTGGTCTTTTTCCTTTTTATCGGTACCAGGGATCGAACTCACAACTGCCTGCTTGCAAGGCAGGCGCTTATGCTGTTGAGCTAAATCCCCAGCCCCGGTGCAGAAGAGAAACAGTAGAAACATAATACGTATTCTGACTGCTGGACCAGTTGAAATAGCTTTCACTATAATCACTGTGACTCTTAACGTTAGGACTAGATGGAAAATGTAGATGCTGAGCCTTCATTTTAAGTTCGTTACGGTGGAGCTTTTGAGTTCTAGTTCATGTGATGTGGGGGTATTAACACTTCCCACAGTTGGCAATATTGGCAGTAATAAAGGCAGGCACAGTCAAGGCTCTGTTTTTCTTTTTACAACTCATATATTTCCTTTTACATTGCGAATAATTCTGTTTTGATCCTTTACTCTTCAACTGACCAAATCTAGAGGTCCTTTTCTTGGTAGAACATAGTCTGTGACTAGTTGTGTAAATCTCTAAAGGCAAGGACTAAGCAAATGGCATACTCTGAAAAAACTGGGTTGGTGGTTGAGGCTTTTTCTTTAATTTCTAGTGTGTTATTAAGTCATAAAGTATCCAGTCATATCTGAAAGTTATAGCAATATTTTCCCTCAAGGGAAACTGGATATCATTAAAATTTTGACAAATAGGTAGACCTGGCCCTGGCTCTGACATTATTTCTCCAACTGTGCGGTGATAGCTTGCCCTCTACCTGACGCAGTGCTTATCCTAAAAAATGGTGTGTGGCTTATTTCTTTCTTTTCCCCAAATAAGACATAAGTTGCAGATTTGAGAGATACAAAATAGGTTGTGCTCCTCTGAATAACAAATCAAAATAAGTCTATATAGAAGTTACTAGATAGAGATAAAGAAAAAACACAAACAAGTTGGAATTTATTTATTTTTTTATTATGTTTGTGTTCTAAGTTAACTTAGGAAGGCTTCCTGAAGGGAGGGAGATCTGAAAAGAGACTTTGTGTAACTGAAGTGTTCTTTTTTCTTTTTTGCTACTGGAAATCAAACTCAGCCTTGCACTTGCCAGGCAGGTGCTATGCCACTGAACTACATCTTTAGTTCTGTAATTTTCAAATCCTGGGATTGAAGGGATTCATGTAAATGAGGAAAAGAAAAGTTGGAGGGGAACTAGAAATAGACTTTTCTAGAGCAGAGTGATGAAAACCATTTAAGCATGTAAGCACCAGGTGAAGAAAAAACTTGAAAAGATGAATAAAATGTTAAGGACTATGGCTGTTTAATAAATTCAAATGTATTAATTTAGACATTAAGTTCTGTATATACTTAACATTGACTATACATTTAAAAATTGATTTAATAGTCCTTAAATCAAGTTTTCAGTTATCTTAGAATAACTGTAATCATGTCATTAAACACTATCAGCAGATCAAAGTTTGCTTACAAGTAAGCCTCTTGTCTTAGGCCTGGCATTTTTTAATAATAGGAACTTGTTTTCCTGTTGGAACACTTAGTACTCTTGATATTAAGACTTTACCCTGTTTTGTTTTCTTTTCTCCCCCTTTCCATGGTAGCTTAGTCAGACCATGAAACTGGCACGTCACCGGCTGGCATCCTTTAAAACTGGGAGTGGAAAAATGGCAGTAGTGTTGCCAAAGGATAAAAGGAAAGCCTCACTCATCCAGGAGGTAAGTTAATTTCCAGCACACTGTGTGTAAAGATGCAGGTAAAAAATACAGATAAACTAGCTGAGCAAAATATTTTAGTAATTTGTATGATCACCATATTATTTTGAGATGATTTTAGAAATTACATGGAAAACCTAGAGCGTTGCTGTTACCTAACATTCTATATTTGTTACTTATGTTTTCTTTTAGAAGGTAAAATTCAAAAATCCATTATTTGAGGTAATGGAAGAGAAAGAACAAAATCAGCTGGGCTGTCAGAGTGTTCAGAGTATTCCACCAGAATCCCAGGGTGATTTGAAGAATGTCCAGAGTGTCACTCCTGAAGATCAGAGCGTTGAGCCCGATACCCAGGTTGCTAAGCTAGCAGTTCTGGCTGCTGAGCCAGAAGGCCAGGCTACTGAGACAGAAACTCAGGACATTATGGTAAAAGCCTGTAATATCGAGCTCGAAGATGGAAATACTGAGTTGGGAGCCCAGGATTTTCTACCCAAAGACCAGGGTATTCTACCCAAAGACAGTTGTGTTTTCCCTGAAAGTCAGAATACTCTATGCAAATATCAGGACCAGAATTTTCTGCATAAAGACAAAGATTGTCTACCTACAAACCAGCATGTTTACTCTGAAGAACAGGATATTCCACTCAAATGTCAGGATGAGGCTTTTCTATCTGAAGACCAGGATTTTTGTCATAGAGACCAGTGTGTCCTTCCCAAAGACCAGAATATTCTGTCCAACTGCCAGGATCAAGACTTTCTACTTAAAGGCCAGAGTTTTTTACCTGGAAGCCAGTGTGTTCTTCCTCAAAACCAAGATATTCTACCCAAATGTCAGGACCAAGACTTTGTACCTGAAGACCAGTCTTTTCTACGCAGAGACCAGTGTGTTCTTCCTCAAAACCAGAATATTTTACCTAAATGTCAGGACCAAGAGTTTGTACCTGAAGATCAGTATTTTCTACCCAGAGACCAATGTGTTCTCCAAAATGAAAATATTATACCTAAATGTAAGGATCAAGACTGTCTACCGAAAGGCCAAAAATTTCTCTCCAAAGACCACAGTATAATACCCAACTGTCAAGATCAAGATCTTCTTCCCAAAGACCAGAGAGTTCTTCCTAAAGACCAGAATACTCTAGGCCAATGTCAGAAGCAGAATTTTCCATCCAAACATCAGGTAAAATAGTAGGAAGGAGATTTAAGAAGAAGAAATGAGCTACTGCAGGTTAGCAACTTAGAACTACTTGGAGTGGGGTTTGTAAGGATTACATTGTATCTGATACAGAGATCCATCGTTAGAAAATAGTTTCCTGATTGATTTCTTAAAACTGCAGGGTTCATACTAAGTGTTAAAGTATTATCAGCACATATTACCCCATCTGGACAGTTTATTTACTTACTTTCTTATTTTTACTCTTCATTAGGGAAACTATTTCTGTCAGCCAACCTCTGCTTTGACAGCTGAAAGATGGAAAAAGGAGTGGCCTACAAGTGCCCAGCAGTATCTTGCACTTTCACTCGGGTTCCAAGGCCAGTCTTCCACCAGTCATCAGCTAGAGCAGAAGGAAGCAGGGGACCCACAGGAAGTAAGTTAGTTAGGGTGCGGCTAGACAGAGGTGCCCTTCACACTGTGACTTCAGGTTAACTCTACATTTCTTACTGAAACCTCAAGTCTTAAGTTAACAGTTAATTTTTTGTGTTTACTTTATTAGAAAGCAAATTCAAAGCAGCCACCATCCCTTCTGATAGTCAGACGGGGGTGTCTGTACTCTGGATGACCACTGGGATTCAAAGCAGCCAGCATCCCTTTTGGTAGTTAGGTGGGGGAGCTTCCTCTGGACGGCCATTGGGATCTGTCAGGCATCATCAGGTGTCCACCAGGGACAAAGCGGAACAGGAAAGGGGTGGCCATTAGCCAAAAATAGAGGTTTTGAGGGTTGAGTTTTGAGCTTCCAAAGTTTGTTAAACTTCAGAACTGACCAAAAGCATGGTTTCTGTTTTATTTCATAATATATTACCCTGAGTTAAATTATAGGCTTTGTTCTCCATAAAGCCTATCTCATCACTATCATAGCACTGCTACTGAGTGCTTTCTAGTTGGTGGATTTTTTTCTTCTTTTAGAAAGTTCACTTTAAGAAGGATCCACTCTCTGATGTGACAGGTGAGAAAGGGGGAGAAGAGAGGTGGGCCAGTGGCGCAATGGATAACGCGTCTGACTACGGATCAGAAGAAAGGGGGAGAAGACTTTGCTCTGGCAAGTTAGCAGTGTCAGCCTTCTAAACCCCAGTTCCAGAACTTCATTAGAGTAAGGAAAGCAGCATGAAAGAAGTGGGAAGTAAAGTAGCTAGGTTTTATAAATTTTTAGCAACTGTTGATTTGAAATACAGGATCAGGAACTTTGGGGCTAAACTAAAAGTATCTCTTTGATTCCTTCTCATATTAGTAGGATGATAGTTCTACATATTAGGACCACGTTCTTGCTTCAAGAAGGATGCACAGGGTATTAAGCTCTGATCAACTCAATTCCTGTTGGTCTTTTCTTTTTCTCTCATCTGCCACACACCTAATGGTACAAAAGATCCTGTTTTACTGAACTATAAAAATGAAATCAAGGCTGGGGATTTAGCTCAGCGGCATAAGTGCCTGTCTTGCAAGCAGGCAGTCGTGAGTTCGATCCCCGGTACCAATAAAAACGAAAAAGACAAAAAAAAAAAATGAAATCAGTTCTGCCATTTGACAGGCCGATAGATCAGTTAGTATGTTTTGGTTTACTGTGATCATTCTCTAACCCTTGCTGACTCCCACAGCATTACTGCAAGTGTACTGACCATCCTTGAACAAGTTAGGAGTTAGGAAGAAGCAGCAACGGTGACTCATGCCTGTCATGTTACCACTTGGGGAGGCTGAGACGAGAGGATTCCAAGTTTGAGTGCAGCCCAGGAACTTAGTGAAAACCTGTCTCAAAAATAAATAGTGAGAATAGGGGTGGGAATGTAGCTGTAGACCCTGGGTTCAATCCCCAATACTGGAAAAAGAAAAAAGGGTTTCTGAAACTTTTCTAACTGTGGTTTGGGATTCAGAGTTAAACTATAGAATTGGATTAAAAGTATAGTATCTTTACTCATCTCAAAACTTGTAAGAATATTCTTATCTACTACCTTTGCTGAAATCTACAAAAATTAGCTGTTATCCTGGAAAGGTTTTTTTATTCCCCCTTTTTGTTATTCCTTTAGAACAGATTTCTCAACCAAACCTCATCTTTTATGAGTGAAGAAAGAATGAAAGAGGAATCACCTCTAGATTATCATCAGTCTGTTCCAGCTAAGATCCAGTACGAACCCTCTGGAGAACAGGTAGAGCAGCATAGAGAAGGCGTGAGCAAAAATATGGTGAACATTGAAATTTTTAAAAAATTACTACAGTAAAAGATCCATTCCTTCTTAACACCCTCAAAACATTGCCCCTTGCTTTGAACACACTCTTCCCATCATTTTTAGCACTTTCTGAAGTCGCTCTTTAAAGCTCTGTTTCATGAGTGTCTTTAGTTTTGCTGTGTGGCTGCTTCAATGCCCTGATTTAATTCAAAATTTTCGTCTTTTATAATCATTTTGCCTTTGGAGAAGAGCTAGAGGGTGCCCAGTGCCAGTCCAGTGAGTGAGGTGGATGAGGACGGACTGTCATGTTTCTGTTTGACAGCAATCGTCTCTAAATGTTTGATAAATGCAGGCTGTTCCACATGCATGCTGAATGTTTAGATCAAGAAATATATTAAGGTGAAAGACACATTGCCACTAGTCCTTCCCCAAAATGCTTCAAACATACTTACCCTGTCATTTTTGTTGTGTTTTTTACTACAATAAAAGTTTTTTATAAATTTAAACATTCACCATTATTTTTTGATCACCCATTATACTTTCTAAATGAGAAATAAGACTAATTATTTAAGATTGGATGGGAGTTTATTGAGCTAGCTTGTGTATGAATTATGTAGAAGTAAGGCCTCCAGAGTTAGGCGAAGAGTAAAATAAAATGTTTTTAGGTATATTGAAATGTGCCAAAATCTCTAATTCGCTTTAGAATGTTCCTGGAAAAGTTGGAAAAAAGATTAAAAGGTGAAATACTGCTAATTGTTCAAGTTGAGTGATGTCTACCTTGGGCTTTATCGTATTTTTTTCCTCTTCAGTGTACGGTTGGAAGTGTTTATGTTACATGCACACAAGCAGGTACACATAGATATGCAAACACACCTAACTGTTGTGTTATCCTCACCTAGAGTCATCATTCTGGGATTGTAACTGGAGTCTGTTTGCTCTATTTCTGTTTAGACAGTCAGTTTTATATTTTGTTACTCTTTTAGAGCAAGTATATCAAACAACTTTGATCTTTGGAGATATGGGCGATAGGGAGAGAAGCTGCTTCTGGAGAGCTATTGAGGGTTTGTCTAGTATTCAAGACCTGGTGTTTCCTGGAGAATAAGGAAAATGAAATAGAAGTGATAAGTAAGTAGCCGAGAGTAAAGTATTTAGGTTTTGGCTCAAGATCAAGGCAGTGTAGAAATGCTTCAGAGATTAGTGTTAAAGACAGTAATAATGGGCAGAGAACGTTCGTCCTGTTCTGTGATGTATCACACCACCCTGATTGATTGAAACTACCTTTGGCCTGTTCAGCTGAAGCTTGTTTTGTTGCTAAAGAACTCACGTTCCTACTTGGATAATTTATGTTGTTGTTCATGTTATCTTTCAGCACAGGAACTGTGGGCCAGCATCACATGATATGACAAATGAAAGCGGGAGAAAGGACTTACTTCCAGAGTGTTCTGGACATGCTTTACATGAAATCCAGGATTGTGGTTCTGCCAGAGAGCAGGTAGAGCGCAGTATAATAAACAGTAAGCAACACAAAGTAGATTTATGAGTTTGGTCTGGGCTGTCAGAGCTATGTTACTAACAAAGATGATGATGGTAGTGTTCTCTTATTATTATTAGCATTATTGTTATTGTAATAACAACTTGTTCTCATTGGGTTACTTATCATAGCCACAATAGTTTTACAAGTTTGTATAAGTCTCTCATTTAATTCTTGCAATTACTCTGGAAGATAGATACTAATATCCTTCTTTTATAAATGAAATTTGAAATTGCTTTGCGGATGGAATTAAGATTTTTAAGAATAGTAAGAAAGGGGCCCGGGATTTAGCTCAGTGGCAAAAGTGCCTGCTTGGCAAGCATGAGGTTGAGTTTGATCCCCCGTATCCCCCTCCCTCCAAAAAAAGAATAACAAAAAAGTATACTGGCTACTTTTGTATCATAGTATGGAAGAATACTCTGACCTATTTAGATTACTTCAGGGTTATTACTGAAGCTTGTAGCATTATCACTACAATTATTTCAGTGCTCACAATTTGATAAGTGCTGTTTATAAGTTACATATTATACAGAAAGCATCTGTTGGGACTGCTGAACTACAGCAAGGGAATTTGCTTGTGGACAACCATCAGCATCCTGCACCCAGAGTCCAGAGAGGCCCTTGCAGCGGACCACAGGTACAGCAGACATCAGAGTATGGGAGTAGAACTTGGATGCAATGTCAGTGTCTGCCAGGCTGAGAGGGGCAAGGCTGATCACAGGCAGCTTCCTGTTTTATTTATAAGCTATTTCAAGGTTATTTTATTATTTTTTAAACTTTTAGTTATTATTATTATTTGCAGGACACAGTGGTTACATTCATCAAGGGGAACATGTTTATAACACATCTTAATTCTTTTTTATTCCCCTTTCTCTGCCTTCCCTCCATTCTTTGGTCCCTTCTTCATTTGCAGAAGATCTGTCTTCATGCTGCTTATTGTCTTTTATTTTGCTCTTTATGTATACTTTGGGTTTCTCATGTAAGAGAAACCATGCAATATTTAAGTTTGTGTGTCTGATTTATTTTAATTAATGTTAATCTTAAGGTGTACCTATTTTCCTATAAATAACTCAGACTTACTCTTTGATAGCAAAGTAGTGTTCCATTGTTCACATTTTCTTTCTCCATTCATCTGTTTCATGTGTTTTGATTTTATTTTTTGTTGTTGTTTGGAGACAGGATCTTGCTATGTATGTCAGGCTAGTCTTGAAACTCATTTTGTTGATAGATATAAAGGTCATTTCCAAAATTTATATGTTGTAAGTTGTCCTGCTTATAAACATGACTATGCATGTATCATTGTAATATGATGTCTATAACTTTTGCAGGAAGATATCTAAAAGAATGGCTGGGTCAAATAAAATTTCTTTTAGTTTTTAAGGTATCTTCAATAGTGATTTTCATAGTAATTGCATTAGTTTACATTCCCACCAACAATGCCCAAGAGTTCCTTTTTCCCCCACAGCCTTCCCAGCATTTGTTACTATTTGATTTCTTAATGGAGTAAGATAGAATCTTAGTATTGTTTTAATTTGCATTTTTCTAATGGCCAGATATGTTGAATATCTTTTATGTGTTTATTGGCATTGATAATGCTTCTGAAAAGTATCTGTTCCATTTTAGGTGCCCATTTTTAATTGAATTGGATTTTATTTTATTTTATTTTATTTTTTGGTACCAAGGATCAAACTCACAACATTGTGCTTGCCAGGCAGGCGCCTAATGCCACTGTGCTAAATTCCCAGCCCCTTTTTTTAATTTTAAAGATAATAAAACAAAGCAAAACGAAACAGAACAGAGCAAATCAGAGCAAAACAATGCAAGTAACACAGGACTTCAGAACAAGACAACAAGATATCAACAATGGCTACCATAATGTTTCTTGTTTTCTTTGAAATAGTTGCTCATATCTTCACACACAAGAAGTTAATACAAATCAAAATAGTATAAAAGCTATCAAAATAAAAGAATGAGAGCCTTACAGGCCTTTAAAACCAGACACTAAGAAATCAGTGATGGCTACTGTAATGTCTCTTGTTTTCTTCAAAATAGCAGTCCATACCTTCATGCATTTTGAAATCAAGTAATTGGAAACAGACTAAAACCAATCAAAACCAAGAATAAAAGTATCATTGGACTTCAAAACAAAATGATAGGAAATCATCAGTGGCTACCATGATGTCTCATTTTCTTCAGTGTAGCCGTTTGTACCATCACACCTACTAAAATCAGTTATTTTAAAGTCTTTAGGTGAAGGCATATATAAACCTATACATGTACATCTGTCTTTTCTGTATTAGAAGGAAAAGCAAAACGAAACAAAGTATAAGAAAAACAAGAGTCAAATAATTATAACAAAGAGCCCAAAACAATAACAGTGTAGGCTTTCAAAACCAGGTGGTAGGAATGCAACAAATTTTGTTGTTTTGCATTGTTATCTTCAAAAGTTTTACTCAAATTACCAGATACAGATCAACACAAAGTTGATCTAATCCTATGGGTGTTAACTGTTTTGTTCCAAGAACTAATAGAATTAGTAGTACAATCACCTTAGTAATTTCTAAGTGTATATATACTAATTTATATCTTTTTTCATGCCATAGTCTGTTTGTGAGTATTTTATTGAGGATTTTTGTATCTATGTTCATTAGGGAGATTGGCTGATAGTTCTCTATTTTGGTCGGGTTTTTCTCTGGTTTTGGTATTGGGATAATACTTGCTTCCAGGAATGAGTTAGGGAGAATTAATTCCCTTTCAGTTTCATTGAAGAGTTTGAGGAGTGCTGAAATTTAAGTCTTCCTTGAATTTCTTAGAGAATTCTGCTGTGAACCTATCAGGACCTGGGCTTTTCTTCATTGGTTCTAATTACATTTTCAATTTCATTAACTGAAATTGGGTTACTCAGCAGTTTTACATCTTGTTGATCCAGCTATGATAATTCATATGTTTCTAGGAATCTGTCCATTTCTTCTGTTTTCAAAGTAGGTATTGATGCTCTTCTGTATTTCCACAGGGCTGTAGTGATTTTGTCCTTTTCATTCTTTATTGTATGAATTTGAGTGTTTCTTTCCTTTTTAAAATACGGTTGGCTAGGGGCTTATCAATTTTATTTATTCTGTCAAAGAACCAACTCTTTGATTTGTTAATTCTTTGTATTGTTTTCTTAGTCGCTATTGTGTTGATTTCCACTCTGATCTTTATAATTTTCTCTCTTCTTTTGACTTTGGACTTGACTTGCCCTGCTTTTTCTAGATGGTTGAGGTATAGCATCAGGTTGTTTATTTGTGTTTGTTCTGTTTTCCTGATGTGGGAAGTCACTGCAATAAATTTCCCTGTAAGGACTACTTTCATTGCATCCCACAGTTTCTGGTAAGTTGTATTTGTATTTTCTTTTACTTGTAGCTATTGTTTAATTTCTTCTGTGATCCATTGACTTCTGTGATCCATGGGTTTATGGAGTCTTTGTGGTTTCTTTTGTCATTACTTTCCAGTTTTATACTACTATGATCAGATAATATGCATGCAATAATTTCAATCCTTTTGCATTTACTTAAGTGTGTTCTGTGGGCTAGTATACGGTCTATTTTAGAGAATCTCCCATGTGAAGCTGAGAAGAATGTATATTCAGTTGTTGTTGGATGGGACACTCTGTACATGTCTGTTAAGTCCATTTGTTCACAAGTGTGATTCAGTTCTTTTATTTCTTTTCTGATTTTTTGCTTTGTTGATCTGTCTCTCTGTGTCAATGGGTGTTAAGGTTTCCTGTTATAATTGTGTTATTGCTTACTTGATTTTTCATTTCTGTTAATATTTATTTTATATAGCTGGGTTCTCTCAGATTTGCTGCATATATATTTAAAATTGTTATCTCTTCCTCTTGAAGTTTTCCCCTAGTCAGTATGTAGTAACCTTCTTTATCTCTTGATCATTTTTGGTTTGAAGTTCACATTGTCTGCAAACAGAATACCTACCCTGCTTTTTTGGGGGGTCTTGTTGCATGAAGTACTGTTTTTCATCCTTTGACTTTCAATCTATGAATTTGCTTTTGGATTAGATGGGTTTCTTGTATACAGCATATGGTTGGGTGTTGGTTCTTGATCCATTCTTCCATTCTGTTTCTTTTCTCTTTATGTACTTATTTATTTTTTAATTTATTTTTGGTGCCAGGGATTGATCTTACAACCTCGCGCTTGTTAGACAGGCACTTAGGCCATTGAGCTAAATCTTTGGCTTCATTCTGTTTCTTTTAATTGGTGAATTAAGACCATTTAAATGAATGGTTGTAAGTGATATATATTGGCTTATTTTTGTCATGTTGTCTTTCTGTTATTGGTTCTTTACCTTTTTCCCTCTGTTTGCACTGCTTGGTGGTTTTTTTTTTCTGTTGGTGTTCTTGAAGTCATAGGTATTTTTATGTCTATCTAGTATATAGTTAAGTATTCTTTGTATGGTCCGTTTGGTGATCATGAAGTTCTTCAGCTGTTCTTTATCATGTAAGTGTCTTATTTCTCCATTGATTTTGAAGGATAGTTTTGTAGAGTACATCATTCAGAATTGGAAGTAATTTTCCTTTAGGATTTGAAATAAATCGCTCTCTGCTCTTGTTGACTTCAATATTTGTGTTGAGAAGTCTGCCATGATACTGATGGGCTTTCCTTTATAGGTGCTTTGTTTTTTTTTCTCTTAAAAGTTTTTAATATTCTGTTCTTATATTGAATTTCTGGGATCTTGACTATTACATGTCTGGATGTAGATTTATTTTGGTTATGGCTGATTGGAGTTCAATATGCTTTACAGATCTGTATGTCAGTTTCCTTTCCTAAGTTTGGAAAATTTTCAGCTATTACTTCTGTAAATAATCTTTTTATATTATTTGTGTTGTCACCTTTTTCATTTATACCTACTAATATTATATTGTTTTTCTTTGCATCATCTTGCAACTGTTGAATTGTTATTTCCTAATTCCTTCCTTATTTTTAAAAGATCTTTGCTTTCTTGTTCATTAGCTGCAATCTTGTCTTTGTGGTCTGAAAGTCTGTCTTCATGTTCATTGAAGCATTTTTGCTAGCTTTCGATAGAATTTTTTTTTGTGCTGGGGATTGAACTCACCACCTCGCATTTCCCAAGCAGGCACTTAACACTGCTGAGCTAAACCCCTGGCCCTTGATTGAGTTTTTGGTTTCCTGGATATCTCTTTGAATCTGTTTTATGCATTCTGGTTTTTACATTGTTCATTCAGTGTTTCAATCATCTTGCCATGTTCTTCTATTTTTTAAACTATGTCTTCTTTAGATGAGTTCAGCATTTCTTTCACTATGTTTATCATTTCTTCTTTTACCTGGGAGATTATTTCTGATCTGAGTTCCTTTATAGCTCCACGGAGTTTATTTACTTCAGTTGTTACTATTTTGGAAGTTTCAGATGTATGGCTTACATTTTCTGCTATGTCCACGTCTCCTAGGCTTGTTTGACATGGGCTGGAGGCTTGTGATTGTATTTTGCTCTTTGTTTTGTCACTTTCCTGTATTCCCCTGGGGCAGTTGAACGCAAAGTCTCAGTTGTTTCTTGAATAAAGGATGGCTGTCTGTACTTCAGGGAGTTTCCCCAGTTGAGGGGGAGATGTTAGACAGTCTTTAT